GAGCCCCACATTGGGCTCCACACTCAGCACGGAGTCTGCTTGAGATTCTCTCTCCCCCTCTCTCTGCCCCTCCTGCTTGTACCCTCTCTCTCGCTCTCTAAAATGGATAAATAAATCTTTAAAAAAAAGAAAAAGGCCCTACTCAGTGCTTATCCCCCAAGACTGGACATCTTCCAGCACCGGCCAGCCGCATGCGGGTGGCACACCTCACTTGAGCCCTCTCGGGTCTTGGGGAAGTGTCCCTAGTTCTGTATGCAGCTTTATGGCTGCAAAGCTCCCTACAGGGTGACTGTGGGCAGTGCTGGGCTGGATGGAGAAAGCAGTGGAAGGATAGCCCCGAGTGGCCATCAGAAAGGCGTGTGCACGCTGAGAGGCCCCTTTCTTCCTTCAGCTGTGTTCATGGAGGCCCCACTATGCCCAGGGCTGTAGCACTGAAGAAGATGGACAGGCCCCAGACAGGCCCTTGCCTCTCCAGGGTGCGAAGCCTCCATCTAAGAAATGCACAAACACCTCCGGACTTACAGCGCGAGAGGGCGGGGCTGGGCCAAGGCTGTGGGAACACAGCAGGCCTCCCAGAGGAGGTGGGGTGCAGGAGCAATGGGGAGGTTGCTGGCAGAAGGAACCTGGGCAGAATGTCAGGGAACAGTGGTGGAGGAGGCTCCAGCGAGCAGCCGGGTCAGAGCGTGAGGGCCACGGGCATGAAACAGGAACCCGAAAAAGGCCTCACTCCCTCCTTCTGGCCTCCATTTTCCCATCTGTAGGAATAGACCACCAGCATTCTCCTGTGCTGCTCAGGCAGCTGTCTCCTGGGCTCCCTCACTGTGTCCATCAGAAAAATGGCAAGAATCCAGTTAAGGGAGTGGGGTTACTGACCAGAGTCCCCGAAGGCCCTGAGCCTGACCTCTTGCCCTTCCCAGCACCAATTCCCCAGGGGGAACTGTCCGCCCTGTCCGCCCTGTCCGTCCCCAAGGGCAAGCCCAGCCAGAGCTGGATGGGCATCCCTGCCCTCCTGCAACAAACCACGGCAGGGGAAGCAGGGGTAAGGATGGACACGGTGTGGCAGTCAGGACCCCATTCTCCTCCAAGCCAAGCCCCAACTCTTGGGCGCTAGGGGGGGCTGCTTGGTCACACGGGTCCTAGAGAGTAGGGTGCCTTTCTCACACCCTCCTTTTTTTTTAAAAGATTTTATTTATTTATTTGCGGAAGAGAATGAGAGAGAGAGAGAGAGAGAGAGCACATGAGAGGGGAGGCTCAGAGGGAGAAGCAGACTCCCTGCCAAGCAGGGAACCCGATGCGGGACTCGATCCCGGGACTCCAGGATCATGACCTGAGCCAAAGGCAGTCGCCCAACCAACTAAGCCACCCAGGCGCCCTCTCACACCTTTTGTTGTGTCTGGGTCCTGGACCTTTATTACCTACCCAAACAGCTGTGGGGCGATACAAGCTACAGGAGGCCTAGGCCTTGTTCCCGGTGAAACAGCCCCCCATGAGAGGCTGGGGGACGGGGTGACAGTGTGCACACCCTAGGCCTCCAGCTTTGCTTCCGCCACCTGCCTCCCTGGTGGCCAGCCTTTTAGGATTTGCTTGTGCCCATCAACCTCCCCGAGGGCAGGGCCCAGCACCCTTGAATGTGGTCACTTCCGTGCCTCCCCAGCTCCAGGACTTTGCTCACGACTGTCCCTTCTAGCCGGATACCCACTCTGCCCCCAGCCCTGCTGGACTCCCCCCTCCTTCACAGGTGCCAGTTCCTTTACCCAGACCCCCCTGCTGGAGCTGCTCACACCTGCCACACTCCCAGCTTCCTTTCCGTCACTGTGCCCCGCCCTCTGGGCTGTCAAAGGCGGCTTCTCCCCCTGCCCGGCTGCCACCTCTGTAGTAGGTTCAGGGCCTGCAATGGGCCTTGAGCCACTGCTATTAATCTTTGTCATCTTTGTCAACTGAGGACACGTAACAGGACTTGGAGCTTCCTGTGTCCCAGATGCCTTTTAAGTGCTGTATATGTGACAACGCTTTTACTCCCCACAGTAACCCAGTGAGGTAGGTGGTTTTATGACTCTCGTTTTGAAGATGAGGAAACTGAGGCAGAGGGGGGTTAAGTGACCTGCCCAGGGCCACCCAGCTAGGAAATGATCCAGCCCAGGCAGCTGGGCTGCGGGGTCCACACTGATACCCAACACCTAACCGATCTATGTTATGTTGTCTCCTAGGGGTGATGTCAACTCAGGGAAGCTGCTGGCCCAGTGGGGTGGACACATTTGTAATTGCAGGAGAGGGTGCACCTGCTCCTCAGATTAAGTTCTGTTTTCCCTAGTGTGGCTTTTTCTCTTTTCTGCCCTTCTGGGCAGGCCTCCCACCACTCACCAAGATTAACGAGTGGGGTTAATCTTGAGTACAGTGAATCCAAGTTTAGCAAATGTTTGCAGAATGATTGCTTTGCTACAGACCCCGAGGCCATGCAAATTTCATGGGCACCCTTGGGCATCACCTTCCCTTCCCCCCAAGCTTCGGTTTCCTGTTGTGGGAAATGCGCTGACTCGCCCAAATCACAAGGTGTGACATCTGGGAAGGATTCTGAGTTGCTCCAGAACTGACACTGTGTCAACAGTCTGTTTACCTGAGTCTTGGCACTGCGGTCTGGGTGCCTGCCCTAGACAGTCGGGTGACTTTGCCCGGGGAGCCAGGGGCAAGGAGGAGATTCTGGTGGGCCAGGGTGTGTGCTCCTTGCCCCATGGAGCAGTTCCCTTCTGGAGGCCTGGGGGCGGCTGGGGACGAGAAAATAAGCTGGCAGATCCCGGGAGCTTGGAGGAACTAGTGGCTCGTTTTTTGCCACCTGACGGTGGGTGGGGAAACTTGTCAAAGACTTTTTTGCAGCCAACAGTGGGACAGAGTCTGTCCCGCCCCTTCTGGCCTGCTGAGCTGCCTGCTGAGGGTAGGGGGATGGGAGTGAATGGGGGCGGCCGGCGATGCCTCTGCCAACTGCAGCTAACAAGTGGTAGCTCGCAGACCGGGCAGGGTCGGCGGGGGTGACCCCGGGCAGGGACAGCCAATGAGCTCCCCAGCTGCAGTGGCACCACCGGGCAGCCTGGCTGTCTTTGGCTGGAGCGGCAGCGGGAGGGGCCTTAGGCCGCCAGTCAGGGCCGCGGGGCCCTGTCTCTGGGAGGCCCCGGCAGATCTGCGGCTCCATTCACAGAAAGCTGTCCTCGGGCTGTCACATTTTTAACTTTTCCGACCTTCTAGGGGAGGAGGGCGGGCTGTGGGGTGGTGTGGGAAGTGTGTCTGGGGAGGTCTGTGCAGCCAGAGATGGAAAGAAACTCGAACCTTCCCCCTGCTCTGGATCCGGAGTGGGCTCTAGCTCCCAGCTGGGGAGGAGGGAAGATGCTGACTGTTTTGCTCACAGCAGGGATGGAGAGAAGGAGCAGGAGCAGGGGAAGCAGAGGTTCCGAGGGACCCCAGGAGCCTGGCCTGAGCTCCGTACCCTGTGCCTGGAGTCAGACTTGGAAGAACACTCGTGACCGAAGTGGCCGTCAGTTGGGGCAGGGGGTGAGGACGACACTGGGGCCGGTCACCCAAGGCTGCCGGTGGTGTGGGCTGGGCTGTGTCAGTAGCAACAGGTGTTTGCACCCCACCTCAGCCCCCCTGCTCAATGCAGACCCACCAAGGCCAATCACATAATAAACATTTATTTATAGATGTACAATTGTAGAATTCTAATTCAAGAAATACAGCTTCTCAGGGGATCCTTTAGGATCTATGTTCTTATTGCACATGGGTCAGCCCACCTGGGGACGTCTACCAAGACCAGATGGTAGGGGTGGTGGCGGCAGAGCACCGGGGCCACCACGGGCGGGGCGCTCTTGCCCACGTCCAGTTCTTATCGTCTCTCTGGGCCGGGGTGGCTGCCGCGTCACAGGGTAGGATCTCATTCAAAAATCACACCTGACACTTCTTTACCAAGCTTCCTTTCCCAGCAAGAATCTTAATTCAGTCGGGGGCGGGGGGACTTTAAAAAAAAAAAAAAAAAGAGCCAAGAGAAACTCAGGGAGGATGGTTATCACCTCCTGGCTGGCAGCCCGGGGAAGTAAGGCTTTGGAAGGTGGCAGGCTCCAGGACACACCCACTGCCAGAGGAAAATTTGGGAAAAACGGTAATTCCAGAAGGCCCAGTATAAACTGTGGGAATAAATAAAACCTCCCTCCCTTCCCCTGGCAGCAACTGCTGTTGTGAGAAAAATCCTCACTTCAAGGTGAGTAGAAGAAAACCCTTCTGGTTCGGGTGCAGCCTTTGTCCAAAGTGCAACAGACGGCCGAGTGGCATCACGTCCGTGGATGGTGGAGACAGAGGTGACCACAGGCCCAGACTTTCTTCAGGAGTCGGCTGCTGCCCCCAGGGTCTTGGGCATCACCTGGCTGACTCTTGGAGGAAGAACCGTCTGGAGTCCTTGGTGCCTGACTTGGGAAAAACCAGCAGCCACAACTCGGAGCTGTGCCCTGGGGCATCTATAAGGCAAAAACCACTTTGGGACTGAGGGGGGGGCGGCCAGGCAGAACTTGGTCCCCCTCTAACCCTGCTCTCTGCAGCGGGGAGGGGGGGTGGGGGGGGGGGGGTGGGGGCAGAGGGCTCCTGGGCCCCAGGCCCAATAGCCCACCTGAGCTGACCAAAGCTTGTGGTGGGTGGTCTCACACCCGCAGGCGGCCTGGGGGGGGCCTCCACTATGACTGGATCCTGACAGGGCACCTGGCCCCAGGGGCACTTTCTCCTCTGAAAGCCTGCTCCCCTCCAGCTTCATCGTAACCCTGGCAACCTCTGAGTTCTCTACACTTAAACCATCATGATTACCGCTGCCATCAAAAGCAGGCCGGGGCTGAGGGGAGCGTGAAAACCTGCGACCCGACTGCCCCTCAGGCTGTCAGCTATGGCCAATGTTTAGCCTCTGAAGGACCAAGTTACCTTCCCCACACAGGCCTCGTTTTCTAAAACAGGGAAGAAATCAGCTAAACAACTTAACCAAATCCCTGCATAGTTTAAAAAGCAGACTATATATATATATATATATATATCTTTATATGTGCTATTTACATATAAATAGATATATATATATATACACACACACTTAGACTTGCTCTATAAATTACATTCTATGGAGAGTTCTCGCCCCTCCTCCTATCCTCGGCCAACGCCTCTGACTGGCTTCCACGGAGAGGTGACCGGTGGGGGTTCCCAGGAGCGGGAGGAAGGCAGTTGGGCGCCCCCTCCCCCAGCCCTTTCCACAGCCGTTTGCTCCAAGTTTTACATTCTACTTTCGTTGCCATGGTTTCCGTATCCTAGGAGAGAGCCGAAGTGGAGCCTCTGCCAGCCCGGGGAGGAAGGGAAGCAGCCCCGCGGCAGGTTTTCCTGTCCTAAGAGCTTTCAGCATTTACTGGGTGAGAGAGAGGGCAGCTGGGCGGCGCTCGGCCTCCAATTCCATTTTAATTTTTTTTTCTTTTTATGTCTTTCCTTAAATACACAGTCCATCACCTTGGCTCAGTGCATGTCACCAAAAATTCTCCAGGGATTTCATGGTCTGGGGAGGAGAGTGGGAACAGTTAGCTCAGCAGTCCCGGGGCCTGGAGCCGCCAGCTCAGCCTACACAAACAAGCCGACCCCCGGCTGCCGTCCTGCCCACCTCGGCCCCAACCGGTCTCCCTCCTGCGCTCTGTCACTCTCCCGGAGGCGCTAGCAGATGGCCTCCAAGCACAGCGTCTGGGGCTGGACCCTTGCCAAGGGGGGGACACAGGCAGAGGACGGACGGGCAGGTACCGACACAGAGAAGCACCTTCGCCAGCTCTGCTACGCTCCTCTGGGCTCGGTCCAGTCTGTCCCCTCCGGCAAACGCTGGGAGCCGAGCTCACTACCCACATGCAGGGGCAAAGGAGGCGGAAGCCTGTGACCAGTGACTTGCATTTTGTCCCCACCCCTTCTGTACTAAAGGCTCTGCGTTCAACCCTCCACTCATGCCCTCTGCTCTCTCCCCTAGACCACAGGTGAGACGCCCGGGGCAGGCCAAAATGCCTCCAGGCTGCGGGTGCACTAGCACTTGAGAGCGCGCCTTGGATTCCACCAGAGGGCAAGGGGTCAGGGTACACAGGCCTCTCCTGCTCCCAGTGTGTTGGCTCCCTCCCCGACCCACTGTGGGGCTGCCCATCCATCCTGTTCCATTTCCTCCTGCCTGGAAGGCCAGAGCAAGCGCACGGGATCTTGGCCCACCCATTCTCATGGGTTTCTTCCTGATGTCAGGTGGGGAGTGTGTGTGTGTGGGGGGGCAAGGGGGGTTATCCTGGGACCAGAAGTACTTGGTGGCCTAAACAGCAGGGCACAGATAGTAGTCTGTTGTACTTGGGAAAGGGCCATGGTGACTTGGGGGCTGGATGAGACCAGGGAAACACACATGGCCCTTAGCAGTGGCCTTCAATTCCCCCTTCTGCCTAGCTCTTGGGCTCCCCACGTTCCCAGGGCCAGGGAGTTGGGCGCAGGGTAGACAGGAGCGTGAGAGGCCTGAGCATACCCTGGAGCTGCCCCAGCTCTGCAGGCTGGAGGTCAGGCTGGGGACAAGGAGTCTGTGCCCTAATCAACAGGCCGTTCCCCTCTCACCCTCCCGCCCTCCTCTGCCTCATGACCAGGGCCAGAGCTGCCAAGAGTTGCAGGGCAGAGGCCCTGGCTCATACTTGGACCTCGGTGGCGTGGCTGGCCTGGGACTATCCATGCAGGGAGGCCTGCACCTCTGACAGTCGGTTACAGCTCGGGGTGCCCATCCTCTGTGCCTTGTGGTACATATCCGTGTCACCGAAGTAGCGGGCCCGGTATAGCAAGCCTTCCTCTGCAAAGCAACGGGGCAGAGTTAGGGTGCACCTGGGGTCTCCCAAAGGCTACTAGAGCACCTGCCCAGCCTGTGGGAGTGGGAGAAAGGCTGTCACAGGCCCCGGAGCTGCGGCAGAGCTGGCCTCCCTTCAGGAAAGACCCTGGAGAGCAAAGACTATGGTCCCAGTTGTGAGAAGGAAAGAAGCGGTCATCCTGGCTCGACCACGCTGGGGTCCCACAGACTGAGCTGGATGCCTGATCACTCGGCGGCCAGGACACATGCTCCGGCCTATCTCGACATCCTTACCTCTGGCAGCCAAACTCAGGCTGATGGCCATGATTTACGGGAACCTGGAGGAGATCTCTAGGTAGCCCCTGGCTCCCAGCCCCACGTAACCAGGGCTGGGGTCCCGCTCTTGACCAGGAGGTGGCTGGTACAAGGCCGTGCCTGGTGCTGGGTCCACAAATCCCTGGTGGGCAGGGTTCTCTCTTCCCTGCTCTCAAGCTTTGGCCTGTGACACACACACACTCACTCTGCTGCTTCTCCTTCCAGCAGTTGTTTCGGAGGTTGGCGATGTAATCGTCTTCCACATTCCGTTCAACTGTTTTGAGGCTGGAGCCCGTGTACTCCTTAGAGAAGGTGTCTGCCACGTAGTAGACGACATTCAGGTGGTCAGTGACTCGCCTGTGGACATGGCCCACCGACCTGGCCGGAAATACATCAGGCACAAAGTGGGCACCAGCGCCCAGGCCCAGGGCAGCTCTAAAGGACAACAGGGCCCCCCAACAGGAGGACTTGCTTCCTTCCGAACCAGAGCGGGGACTCGTACAACACGCAAAATGAGGGTCTGAAGGACTGGCAGAGTGTCCCTCCCCTGCAAGGGGTCCAGACTATGGCCAGCCCTGCTTACCACACTGCTGACCTGCGGCCTGTAGGGAGAAGCCCCTTTTTGAGAGGCCCTGGTCGGCGTAGGAAGGGAGGCTGGGCTCGGCTTCTGATTAGGGGTGTGAGCTGGGCTCTTGTGCCTCCCATCTCGGCATTCCTCCCCTAAGCCGACTGTTGCCCAGGGCCTGCCGGCCTACCCGGGAACTCTCAGTCTGGAGTTCAGAGGCTTAGAAACAACATGACAGAAGGACTCCGAGGAGCTGTGGGCTTCCAGCTCTCGGTCCTAGAGACCGAGAGGGCTCTGCAGGCTGTGGGAAGAGCCTCGACACACAAACAGAAGACAGTGCTGGGGAGAGGACAGCCCCTACCTGCCCCCTGTTGCCTCTGCAGCTGCAGAGCAAAGGGCTGGCTGGCAACAGGCCTCAGAGAGCCTGGGCCGCCTGGACGGGCCCAGCAGCCCGACTCTGCCCCCTGCTGGCCGAGAGGAAGGCCGCCAGGCTCCCAGGCAGGGCCAAGCTGCTTTGGGAGCACAGAGCTCCCACCAATAGAAGCTGAGCACCCACTCTGTAACTATGCATCAGATATGGTGCCAGGGGCTGGAAATAAACGAGGGGAGCTGATACCTTAAAAGGCCAAATAAATTGCCCTAGTTCACTACTGGCAGCTGAGACCATATATTCATTCAACAAATACTGGGGAACATTTCTGACAAGTCTGGCATTTTTTAACAAACATTTTGCTTATTTCTTTTAAGGTAATCTCTATACCCAACATGAGGCTCGAACTCAAGACCCCGAGGTCAAGAGTTGCACGCTCCACCGAATGAGCCAGCCGGGTGCCCTGAGCCTGGCATTTTATGTGTACTACTCATTTATTTTTCACAAGCAGATAGATGTTGTTATTCCCACTGTATAGACGAGGAAACCAAAGCTCAGACCCTTGTCCAGGGTCACACAGCTGCTTAGTTAATAGAGAGGCTGGGATTCAAAGCCACCTCTGCTCTGTTTGATTCTACAGTCCCTATTCTTTCCATGGCCCCAAAGCCCCCAACCAGAACTTAAGAGCAGAGGTTCTTCTCTCAAGGTCAGCAGATAAGGTGGGGGGGCATGAAGCCTGTGAAATCGTGTGCAAAACTGTGTGCATGTGCAGTGTTCGAGGGAAAAGATCTTCAGTTTTCACTCCATTTTCTTAGGGGACCGTGATCCTAAAAGATCAAGAACCTAAGCTCAACAGGGAAAGTGTGTTTTCTGGATTCTAGGCCAGATTTCTGCACTGTGATCAACGATGCACAGGACGGGAAGGAAGGCCGCTGATGGGGGCTGAGAACCCCAAGTCCCTGTCGGCCCAGCACCCCAGTCCCATCCCTAGGCGCAAGTACTCACGGCCGTGGGCTCAGGCTGTACGGAGGGCTGGAGACCATGAGCTGGCTGAGCGCCGACACGACGATCAGGATGAGGATGGGCAGCAGCTGCACGAAGACCCCCAGCCCGCCCTGGAGGGAAGGGCCAGCGGTCACCCAAGCTGGCTGTGGGCGGGCGCGCCGTGGCGGCCGCAGTCACCACCAGCTTCCCGGGCGGCACGAGGCGCAGCCGCCATATAAACAGGCCACGACACGACTCTCTCACCCCACCCCACCCCCAGGCCCCCCGAAATACAGACGCTCCTCCACCTGCCAGCTCCCCTAGATGAACACCAAACGGCAACTGGTGTTACACAGAGGAACAGGGTACCTGCAAGTGTCTGCTTGTCAGACGGTACCAAAAACACGAGCAAGAGCAGCTGCCTCCAGCACACTGGCAGGCAGGGCAGGAGGGAGGTTTTCACTATATAACCGATTCCAAAATCGCCAGTTACAAAATTGTAAGTAAAAACACATTTGTTCACCGTGTGATAATTTGTGATTTTAAAAACTCTTCTGTATGTTTAATACACACATACACACGGTTTAAAAAAATGAATGAATAAAAACATAAGGCCACACTGACCGAACATAGGGGACCCCCTCCACCTGCCACAATTTTCAATGCTCTGGAATCGTCCACGGTATCTTAATGTTGGTCAGCTAGCTGTTCCTTAACCTGTGGCATTCAAAATGCTTTCGAAGCACTGTCTGGTTATAGTTTTTGTGTACATTTTTTAAGAGTGCTGGAAAGAAACAAGAGTCAACAACCTCTGTCACCCTTTACAATTCTCTTGTGAAGTTTCACTTCCCATTGCTTAGAAAATGCCACTGTGGCCTTATGAACAAATGGACTGCACAAAGGCCATTCACACTCAACCCTGTCTGTAGGTGGAGAAGTTTCTGCATGACATTCCCTAACAGAGGCCATCAAAGCCCCACTCCTCCTGGGCAGCACTGTGGAGTGTGGCTCCCTCTGGTGTCGCTCGCAGAATGGCAAGGGGGGGGCGCCCAAGATGGCTCCTCAGCTGAGAATGGTGGGGGCACTGCCCTCCCAGAATGGACAGCTGGGGATGTCACTTCCCCTTCAGGCCCTGCACCCTGGGTGGGGCCCGGCGCCCTCCCCTGCTCTCCCCGGTGCCCTCCTCACTCACGTCACCCTGGTTCTCCCTGCGGTCCTGCCTTTGCTGGTAGGTATAGCGCATGCGGCCGTTGCTGTAGACGTGGACATTACCTGGAGGTCAGAGGGACTGAGTCAGGGGGCGGGACTGCTGGGAAGGGGGGGCCGGCATCCAGTCTTCCACCACCACCCCCAGGGAGGCCTGCGGGGAGGGCGGGGTACTTACTAGACGGGAAGCCACCACCAAAGAACATGTTGAAGAGGTCCTCAGGGGAGATGTCCGCCTCAAAGCCACGGTGGAAGTCCCCATGCCCATGGCCGTGCCGGGCTGCCTGGCTCTTGTCATCACCGAACTGGTCATACTGCTTCCTTTTCTCTGGGTTACTAAGTACCGCATATGCTGTGCCAATGGCTAGAAAGGAGGTATAAGTCAGGCTTGAAGACATGGGGCATGCAGGGGGAGGCTCCCATGATGGCAGCCAAGAGCTCCCTTCCTTTAGGTACTCAAGTGGTGCTTTAGGAAGTGGGAGTCCCTGGGGCCAGCGGAAGTTTGGCTGTTGGGCACGTGTAGGGAGGGGGGCAGGCAGGAATAATTCTGAGTGGATCAAGGCCCTTTATGGGCCTTATCTTATTTACTCCTACAGCAACTGCCGGGAAAGGCCAAATCACCAGGTTGTAGTCAAAACTTCTCCACTGCCGGTAGTATGGCTTGGCGAGCCCTCTCCTCCTGGGGGTCCAGGTCCCAGCATCTGTTCCCTGGCCTGGCCCCAAGGCCTCCCCATTAGGGCTCCCTAGGCAGGAAACCTGTGCCTCAAAGGACCCAGCTCCAGGCCCTCCTTAGTCTCTTGCTCCTTCTCAAGCGGCTCACTCTCTCAAAGGAGCGGGTCAAAGCTGCATCTGCAACCTGCAAACCTTGAGAATAAGGAGGATCCCCTCCTCTTGCCATCGCCACGAGGGCATCCGTAATCCCCGCCATCCCTGCCACCCAGGCTAGGTCTGGCCTCTTGGCGTCTGTCGTGCAGGCTGCAGGCAGAAGGCAGGGCTGGAGCGACGTCAGCCATGGCTACCTTGCCTACCCCCTCCTATTGACCTTCTCCCCCTGGGGCTGGCTGACGGGGATGATGCCTTCAGACTACCCCCACCCAAGCAGGACGGACCCTAAGCAGCCTGGAATGGAGTAACGAGGCTGGGCCCGGCAGACAGCACAGCAGGTCTCAGGGGTCTGCTCTGCCAACTGCTCCGCCAAAGGCTCCCTTCTTGGCTGTGGTCACCGCCTGACGCAAGTGCGTGTGTAGCGCAGGGCTGGCTGCTGGAGATGAGGAGGCCACCAGGCCACGGACCTGCCCCTCAGCACAGGGAAACTGTTACCAAGGTCCCAAGATGGGGATGTGCATATGGGTGAACCAGGAGGCCTCCTTCCGCCCCTCAATCGCTATGCCACCGTGAAGCCACTGGTCCTCAGCTCCCCTCCTGTCACCCCTGGGGAACTTGGAGGAAGGGGAGGCACGGTTGGTGCCATCGGAGCTCTGACAGACTCTGTAGGCTGGAGGTGGCTACTAGGACTTTCTTTCCAGGAAGCAGCTCCTGAGCCCAGGGGACTTGGGTCCAAGGCCACTTCCTGGAAAGACTGTCTTGGCCTCTTATTCCTTCCCAAGGGCAGGAGATAAAAAAACCAAACAGCGGGGAACCAAGGCTCGCTTACCTTTGAAAGCTTCAGTGGCACCAGGTGCGTGGTTCTTGTCTGGGTGGAACTTGAGGGCCAGCTTGCGGTAGGCCTTCTTCAGGTCCTCATCGGAGGCCCCTCTGCTCACCCCCAGGATCTCATAGTAATCTTTACACTGCTTGACCCTGGGTGAAGGGGTAGAGTGGGCCCAGGGCCGTGAGGTGAGGGCGGAAGAAACGAGTGTGGGCACACAGCTCTGAGCAGGCTCAGGGGACCAGCAGGGCACGGCTGACAGCAACTCTAGGCCAGCTGTAAGACCTCGGGGACAAGGGGGCCCCAGTAAGCTCCACCTGGGATGGGGAGTCAGGTAGGGCCCAGGGGAAAACACCCAGAATACATCTGGGATTTCCGAGGGGGCAGCTGCTGTGTTTCAGGCCAGGAACCATTTTCCTTTGCTAACAGCACCCTCACCGGAGGCCACCTCAGGACTGTCAGTGTCTGTGCAGGGCCTGCCCAAGCCCTGGAGGGATAACCGTTTCCTGTTTCCATTCTGTGCCACACAGGCTCTGGTCTGAAAGGGTCTTTGTTGGGGGCGGGGGAGAAGCTGAAAGGGGAGCCCGAGCCCCATCTCTGATAAGCAGAGCTGTGTAAAGAGCCGGGGCTCGCTGGCCGGCCGGCAGCACAGGAAGCCAGCCGCGGCGGAGTTAGCGCTTCCAGCCCCCGCCGTGGGTTGTTGTGGTGGGAGGGGACAGCAGAGCCCTGATTCCCACACTGTATTCTGGGGCCTGGTGAGCCGGCTCAGCTGGAGCTCGTCCATCCTCAGGACCCTCCCAGGGCCCACCCAGACCACAGGCAGATGTGACGTGGAGGACAGGCTGCAGGAAGCCTGCTCTAGATCTGGAAACTTCCCAACAGCACCAGGCTCCAGCCCCTCTACCTTTTCACTGCTGCTACTTGCTCTGCAGTGTAGCCTTTAGTGCTCTCTCCTCCTCCAGCTTCTCCGTTGGCCGAGGCGGCATCGGCTCCACCTGCTTTCCTGTGGGTTGCGTCTGTGGGTTGGGGATGGTCACCGCCAGACTGTGGTTTCTGGTTGAGGGACTCAATCAGGGCTGTGCGAGGCAAGCAAAGCATTCAAGGCTCCTGCTCCAGCAAGGCCACGTGCCATAGCTGAGGGGCTGCCTGGTCCTGGGAGAGGCCAGGACCCCAACCCCACCCCGCATCCCACCTGCTGCTTCTCTCAGCAAAGCCACTAGCTCCCTCCCTGACTTGGGCCTGGGCTAGGGCTGGGAGGGGGGCGGTGGGCGCTAGTGGGATAGCTGCCTACAGGACCCACAGATCTCAGGAGTTGTCAGGGTATGGGTTATTTTAAATCTTTTTTTTTTTTTTTTTAGGATTTTCTTTTTAAGTAATCTCTACACCCAACGTGGGGCTCAAACTCACAACCCCGAGATCAAGAGTTGCATGCTCTACGGACTGAGCCAGCCAGGCACTCCTGGGTATAGGTTAACTTAAAACTCTGCATAAAAACATACCATAAACCCTTCAGGTTTTAAAAATCCCAAAGTAGTGTGCTTATTTATTTTTAAAAAGATTTATTTGAGAAAGAGCATGAGAGAGAGCACATGAGGCAGGGGGAGGGGTAGAGAGAGAGGGAGGGAGAAGCAGACTCCCCGCTGAGCAGGGAGCCCGATGTAGGGCTCGATCCCAGGACCCTGGGATTATGACGTGAGCCAAAGGCAGATGCTTAACCAACTGAGCCACCAAGGTGCCCCCCCCAAAGGAGTGTGTTTAACAGACTCTGTTGAGATGGGCAAAGTCCTCTGCCCATCTCAAAGGAGACCCCACTTAGCAGGACCATCTGTTTCAGCTGGGATTGGCGGGAAAGGCCTCCTGGAGGTTTTTACTTAGCTGTGAAGGGGAATGGAGGCAAGGAATTTGCCCCAGAGGGCCAGACATGGTAGGAGACCCAGGATAAACACAGCCTCTGCTACTTGCTATTCTTCACACGTTTCAAGTGGCTGGCCATGTCAAACATCCTACTTCAGTGTTCAGAGTCTAAGTAGGACATCAGCTGTCACCCTCAGACAGGGTCCCAGTGACTCAAACCCAACTCCATGGTTCCTGCTACTCAATCAGGAAGAGCCCAAATCTCTGGCCAAAGTTCCCTGTGCCCATTTATTCCAGGCACACAACCAGTTCTGGAACCCCTGGTCATGCCTGGGGTACAGTGCCCTGGGAAGCCAGGCACCTGGACTACTGCAGGGACCCAGGACACTGTGCTGAGGAAGGACAGCAGTGCCCCCGGCTGGTCCCCAGTTTCTTTCAAACATGCCAGGAGCCTTCTGGGCTCAATGCACCGTGTTGGGTGTCAGACACCCTCTAAAGCAACATACCTGCGCCTCACACAAGGGGCCAGGGGCAGGGCTTGCTGGGAGCAGAACCCTGGGACTTGAGTGGGACACTGTACCCTGAGCCACTGCTGTCTGAGGTGGCCTCCCTCAGAAAGGAGCTGTCGGTCAAGCCTGCCTTGCATGAAGGAGGTGGAGCACTCCCGCAGGCAAGCCCGGGAGTGCGTGCCGAGCGCTCACCGTGTGCTAGGCAGGCCCGGACACGGTGCTCTGCGTGTACTAGTTCACTTAATCTGAACAATGGCCTTAGAGGTCGGTCTCACTACCACCATCCCCATTATAAAAAAGAGCCGTGTGTGTGATCCAGTGGCCCATGGCTGCATAAGCTGGGAGGTAGCACTTAATGCCTGGATGCCCAGCTCCCAGAACCTTGTTCTGAACTATGCTAGCCCGGACTGCCTGAGTCTGGCATCGGGCATGGGGAACCCTTTCCAGCACAGTCGTTCCAAATAGAGAAGTTAAATTCAGAAAGACCTGGGTTCAAATGTCAGCTCAGTCACATCCTAGCAGTATGGCCCCGGCCGATAAAAAATCTACAATCTGTCTGAACCTCAGTTTCCTAAGGGATCCATGGCTAATGGGGTGTATGAGGATGAAATGAGATAACGTGTAAGCACCTGGCACAGAGTGAAAGTTCAAAATGAGTAGCTGCTGATGTTATGACACAGGCTGATGAACTGGCTGGCCGGGGAGGGGACCCGAGCAGGTGGGGCCAGGGAGCTCCAGGGCTTAGGAAGGCAAAGTGTCAGCACTCAGCAGGCTTTGGACCCAGCCAGAACCATGAGATTTCAGACTGCCCCAGATGCCAGGTCCATGCCAGGCAAACGAAGAGAACAAAAGATGAAGAGATGCTGATGAAGATGGGACAGAGGGAGGAGCCAGTTTGCTGGGTTGAGAGGGTATTTCAAGAACTTATTTCAGTTTCTCTGGAAGCCTCAGTGGTCCAGGCTGAGCTAACAAACCCTAAGGACAACACGACCAACCACTCAACACGACCAACCACTCAACTGCTACAGATAGATACATAGGAGCATCAGCCAGGAGGTGGGATGGACCCCCTCTAGTATTCCTCAGGGAAGATTCTGGAAACTTTTCAGGGTAGTTACATGGAGTCAGCCACTCGAATTTCCTTACATTGCAGAAAGGGAGCCCAAAGGGGAATGGATGTGCTCTGGGCCACACAGAAGGCTCCTGCTTGAGTTGGCAAATCAAGATTTCTGGTTGCTGCCAAGCAGGTCTCCCTCCTGGCCTGGACACCGCCTCCGCCAGACCTGTGGGATGTGACTGCCTCGCAAATGTCGCCAACGAGTATGACACAGAACCGCCTAATGTGATGATTCTGGAGTCAGACGAGGTTGGGTTCAAACCCTGCCTCTGCCCTTGCAGTAAAGCTGGCAGACATCTAAAGAGACAGGAACCTGGTGGAGGAAACGAGAGCTGCAGTGGGGGAGGTGAGAGCACTGGCATGGTCCTAGCGCCCAGTGGTGGCCCCTCCTCAAAGCCAGACTGGAGGGTGAGGCTGGCTGAGTTCAGGGCCGGCTCTGCCGCTTGCTAGCAAGGTCATCTTGGACCAGTCAACTTAGCTTCTTCATGTAAAACTGTATCTCCCTCAAGAGAGTTGAAAGAGTAGACGAGCAAATGCATATAAAGGACTCAGCACAACACTCAGCAAATATTAAGTGTTCTCTGTTACTGTTCGTTTTATTTCCAGGCTCTCTCTGTGTACCTGTAGTGCTCAAAGCGAGTCGGGAAAGGGAGGCCAGCGTGGGGCAGCAGCCTGGGAGCAGGCCTGGACAGTGCGGCTCCTTTGCTGATGAGCCACGTTAGCGAATCCACCAGTGAAGGCGTGGTCTCTGCCCTCACAGGGCTGCTTGGAGGCGTGGATAAGATTCGGTGAACGGAAGGGCTGAGTGCACAGTAGGGCTCAGGAAGGCTGACTGACCTGCATGGACAGCCCCACCCTGGACCTCACCAGTACATCACCATCTCTCACTCTGACACTCTGAAAGCAAAATCCCTCCCCAACCTGCTGGCCTTTCCAGCGTGGCCTTCCTGACTTCCCCAGGACCCTCAAGCAGCCTGAGCTGCAAGATCATCCAGGATAACCCTCTCTGTGTGTGCTGGGGAAACTGAGGATGTTCTCATCGGCTCCTTGAAAAATCCGGTACTTTCCACCATTGTTGCAAGCCTCAGGCAGAGGCCATGCCCAGCGGGCTGCCGGTTGCTGGATAGAAACTCCCAGAAGGGGACTGACCGGCCCCACTAGCCCTGCCCTAGGACTTCCCAGCTCAGGGCCCTGCTACTACTCCGCAGTACAAGTGTCCAGCCATTGGTCCCACGTCCTGCAGCATAGCCTTTTCACTGTGAGGTCCCTCGACCCTTCAACGTTGCTCTGAGTCTCCTCTCACCCTAACCTTTCCCTCTGTCTGTCCTTCCACTTCTCCTAGACCAATCTACCCATGCTCTTGATCCTTCTTGACTTGCCCTTTTCCCATGAGGCCTGATCGTGTTGCTCACCACCTCCCTGACACTCCACTCCATGGCCACCTGGCTGCTCTCTTTCCTGGGATCGCCTCTTCCTGTTGTTGCTCCATCTCGCTCTGCTGCTTCCCCAGTCTTTGCCCGTTTGCTAAGGGCAGATGTGGCCCGTGGTGGTGCCTGCAGCAACCTCCTCCGCGTGTTCGACACTTTCCCACAGTGACCCCAGCCAGGCCTGACTCCAGTGAGCACCTTCAAACTGACAACCAGACTTTCAGCTGGAACATGGGGCTCTCTCCTGAGCTCCACGCTGACAGCTCCTTTGGAACAGCCACTGGCACCTTGCACTCTGCCCATCTCTTCCCACCCACCATCCTCAACCTTGCTTTCTCCTCGGGGACACAGGCTTGGATTCTGTGTCCCCGTTTCTCCTCAGCATACCTCTCTCACACAAGGCGTGGTGCCGCCTCTCCAATGACCTTATCCTCAGCTGGGGAATGCCTTCTCTCAGGCGCTCAGAGCTCCTGACCTACTCACTGCAGTGAATGGTCTCCCAGTTGGGTTTCTAACTCTCTCTCTCTTCCCTCTCATTAACTCTTCATGCTGTTCTCTTTTAAGAAGAGTACACTTATCTCATTCCTGCTATCAGAATCTTCAATGGTCTTTTCACCAACTACAGAATAAAATGAATATCCTGGTCTGGCAGGAAAGGATTTCCACAATCTGGCCTCATCCTACTTTCCAGCCTTAATCCTCTCTATACTCAAATTACCACCTCCCCAGCTGCCAAATCTTGCTACACCCAATCCTCTCCCCCAAACCTCACACCTTCCAGCCTCTATGTCTTCCCCAGTATGTCCTTCTCCAAGTCTGTTCCCTTCCTCCAAAGTGCAATTCAAATGCTGCCTCCGTCTTCTTCCCTGAAGCTTTCCCTCACTGTGATCTACCACTATTTTCCATCACCTGCGTTCTACCATTATTTTTAAGTCTCACTAGACTGCTGGTAGTTCAGAGTTCAGCGCTCCCTCCCCAGCACTCCGCTCCAGCTCACCAGACTGTGAACCCACAGGGGGAAGGGACTGGATCTTTCATGTCTAAACTTCAGTCCTCGGCATCTAACAGTGTGCTGAATTTTTTCTTTATTATTACAGTATTATTTTTTCTATAACTTTGTCTCCTTCGCTAGATTATAAGCTGCTTGAGGTGAAGGATCATGTCTTACAGATCCTGCCATATCTGCACTTAGAACCAAGCAGAGGACTTTGCAAATAAAACAAACAAAAAAAGTCTTAGCATTGAACAAGCACCTGGAATGAGCTCAAACCTCAAACAGCAAGTGTAAACAACTACCCAATATTTTTTTTTAATCAAGACTTCTTCATCCCACACCTACATTAACCCCAGGTCCTTGTCGGCTCAGTACAGGGCTGCAGATGATTTAAGGTGAAGTTTAGAGAAGCATGAGGCATACAGTCTCTCCACAGTAGTGGGAATATGACAATCATGCAGGTGACTATTCTGCCTGAACAAATTCCATTTCTTGAGCCCCGGGAAGGACACCAGTCCAAGCCCCCGAACTGGCCCAGGAGGCTGCTGACAGAAAGAGCCCCAAAGGCCATGTTGTTACCATCCTTTCTTGGCTGCCTGCTCCTGAGTCCCCAAAAGCATTAGAATCAAACAGGATTCTGAGACTGGCAGGCCCCCATCCCACCATGCTCCTCTCTTACAGAGTGTGATTTATTTCTCTAGGGAAGCTCCTTGAGCAGGTTACCTCAGCAGTCCTGGCAAATACAGACTGAAACTCTTTCCAAGAGAAGGCAAAGAGGCCAAAGATCAACCTGTAGTCAGGAGGAAAACTGGACCGTTCCAGGTGATCTCTTCTGCTGGTGGTCACCCTTCTCAATTCCAAATGTGGGCAAAGAAGGTTAGGAGGCTGACTGCTCTTTCATTTCATTCCTCTATTAAACATTTACAGAATCACAGAACTTTCCAATTTCTAGCTGTGTAATCTTGGGCAAGTCCCTTGCCTCTGAGATATTTCCTCATCTACAGAACAAATCTTTGCTCTGCCTCCCTGATAGGGCAGGCTCAAGTGAGAAAATGCACTTGAAAGAGCTTTCTTTCTTCCTTCCTTTTTTTTTTTTTTAAAGATTTATTTTATTATTATTATTTTTAAGTCATCTCTACATCGAACTTGGGGCTTGAACTTACAATCCAGAGATCAAGAGTTGTGTGTTCTGCGGACTGGTCCAGCCAGGCACCCCTGGAAGGAGCGTCCTAAACGGAGAAGCCCTATGGTATTACTGTTACTCACATTATCTGCACCAACCCTCTAATTTTCCAGCTAAGAAAACCCAAGCTCAGAAAGATCGCATGGTGTAGCAGTCAGGATAAGAACTCAGGTCTTCTGACTGGGAATACCTGTTACACACCAGATGGTTTACTGCATCATAACTGATGGTATGATCCCTGTATCTTTAATGGTCTCTCTCTCTTTTTAAAGATTTTATTTATTTATTTGAGAGCCTGAGAGAGAGAACACGAGCAGGGGAGGGGGGAGTAGAGGGAGTGGGGGAAGCAGACTCCCTGCTGAGCAGGGAGTCTCATGCAGGGCTCAACTGCAAGACCCTGAGCTCATGACTTGAGCCCAAAGGCAGACCGAGCCACCCTGGTGCCCCTCTGGACTACCTCTTTCTCCCTTCTAGCTTGTATTAAGAAAAACTTCTCCCAAGTCTTAGTTTAAAGAAAAAGACGGTTCCTCTTGAGTAGCTGAGACAACCTCGCTAATCCCTCCCTGGCTTGGAAGCCCCAGCCCCGGGACACTTAGCAGCCTTGTGCTGTCCAGCCGTCCATACGGGGGTCACTGAGGGACTCTTATGGGCGACGGTGGGAGAGGTGCCTGCGGCCAGCGTCTCCAACAAGCCCCGGATCTCACAGGCGGGTGAAGAGCTTCCAGGAGGAAGTGAGGGGTCCGCCCTCAGGGCAGCGGGTGCAAGGCGGTGGTGTGGAGCCGGGGGGAAAAGGCAGGCTCTACTTTCGGGAGGGTGTTCCCTGGCCCTCGCCCGGAGACGTGCTAGGGAGTGAAGATTTGAAGACACCCTTCCAGGCCGTGCGAAGGTCAGAAGTCCTCTTTCCCTCCCCAGAACCCATTCTCTCCGTCATAGGAGTTAGGTTTATTTTCCTAAACTATAATCGTTCCCAGGCCGGTAACCGACCCTGGGCCACCGAATGGCCCCTTGGGAAAAGTAGTTCGATTTCGCTTCCAGGTAAGTTCCCTTCCCCTGCCCGCCAGCGCCTCTCATCGTCGGTAACTCCAAATCTCAGAGGGTTCCGCAAGCACCCAAAAAGTTGAAGTCGCGGCCGCCCCTGTCATCAGGTGTCCAGCGTCCCGGAGAGGCGTGAGAGCGAAAGACTACACCTCCCAGCGGCCACCGCGCGCCTCAGTGCGCAGGCGTAGCCGCGCCTCGCTACCCCTCCCCCTCCTCCAACTGCTCCCCTCGGTCCGTTCCCGTATTCCCCCCATCAGTTCTAATGGCCCCTCTGTCTCTCCGGCACTTCACACTCACCGCGAACTCGCGGCGTCGGATACAGCCGCTGCGCCTTCTCCAGGAAGCGGAGCGCCCGGTCAGGCTGGTTGCTCTGGATGGCCTTGAGGGCGATGCTAATACAGCGCTCGGCTTCATCCTTGTTGGATTCCATGGCGGAACCAGAGCGCGGAACCAGGGAGGGGGAGGCCGGGCGAGCGGAGGGCTGCGCCAGCTGCCGGCACGTCGCGGGGCAGGCGGGCGCAGGATGATGACATAAACCCATCGCCCCTCCTTTTCCGAGATTTGAGCGAGGGCGGAAGTGCGACCGTATGTCTTCTAAGAGGGAGACAGCTAGGAGAGGTATTAACGAGGGGGCATGCACAACATTCTTGGATCCGAGAGGGTCAATTCGGAGGTCTTAAAGTTGAATATGCTTGCACGTTCTTGGTAGTAACCCTGTGAGTTTGAGACGAAGGTCACTTATTTATTCGTTCCAGAGAGATTTGCGAGGCTGGGTGTACAGTGGTGAACAAAACAAAGCCCCTGCCCTCATAGAACTTACATTCTAGTCTGTGTAGGGGGGTAGGAGGGAGACTGAAATATTCAGATAGCATTCAGACAAATGCTATGAAGAAAATAAAAGAAAAAAAGGGAATAGAGAGTGGGAGGTGCTATTTTAAATAGGCTGATAAGAAAAATCAGAAGCTGGCATTTTAACGGAAATCTGAATTCAGGAGAAAGAGCAGGTATTCCAGATATGACTCTGGAGGGAAGGATGGTCCATCCAGGCAGAAGGAAGAGCTCGCAGAGGCTCTGACACGGGAATTTTCTTGGTGAATTATTACAAGATCAATGAGGAGCATGTAGGATTACACTCTGCAGTGGAATCGGTTCTATCAGGCTTTCTTTCAAGCCTACCACTCCAGTGAAAGCAGTCTTGTCAAGCTTACCCACATTGCCAACTCCATTGGTCATTTCTCAGTCCTTTGTTTGTGATGCCTTTTAAAATCAAGTGGCGATGTCAAGTAGGAAGCTGTATATATGTAGGGTTTAGGGAAGAAGATGGGGATGGAAATACAACTTTGGAAAATATCAAATGGTATTTAAAGCTATGAGACTAGATAGACAAAGGAATGTAAATAGTATTTACAGCTCTGGCCCTGAATGCACCGAGGAATTGAGCGTAGATAGGGAAAGAGTCAAAGTCTGATTACTGAGTCCTGCAGCGCCCCCGTATTTACAGGTCTGGGAGAGGAGGAGAAGCCAGGAAAGGAGAATGGAGAACCCTCTGTGAGTAAGAAAATGAGTTCTCTCAGAGGTCAAGTGAAGCAAATGTTTCAGGAGGGAGGGCGGGGTCCAACTTTGGCAAACCCCGTGGGGAGGCCAAGCAATAGGATGACTGAGAACCCGTGGATGTGACCATCTGGCGGTCAGTGGTGACCGTGACAAGGTTGCTCTCAGTGGATGGTAAAGGTGGAAACCTGATAGGAATGAATTCAAGAGACCTCGGAGGGTGAGGAAGAAATGGATTGGTGGTGGAGAGGAACATGGAGAAGTTGTGGTTTTGTTTTGTTTACTCCTGTGATAGGAATCATTTAATTGGGCAAGAAATGTTGGTAATGCAGGAGAGAGACGAGACGATCACAGGAGTCGATGGGGGGGTCTGGGGCACAGGTGAAGGCGTGGCCGTAGCTGTGTGGACGACTCACTGATTTTCAGCAGGGAAGGCAGTGTGGCTAGGTACACGCAGGGCAGCCGCTAAATTTGGAAGTGGGAGCATAAGGAAGTTCTTTTCAAATAGGATTTATTTTCTCTGTGTAATAAGAAGCAAGGCATCCTTGGCTCCACATGCTCACTCCTTGGAAATCTCTTCACATCCAGCTTTCCTTCCCATCCCCACAGTTCCCTTCCTAAAGCAAACACTTAGGACTGCCTGCTGGCTGGTGAGAGACTAGCCTGGTGGCGAAGAGATCAGCCCCTCCTTGGGAAGACAGCCCTACACTTGGAGAAAGGGTTTCCACAGATTGACGGGTCCTTAACAGATGTTAATGGATAAATAGTAGGACACCTTTCCGATAGGCTTCGTGAGGTGTGTTGACCTCGGGCTGCCATGCCCATCTTGCCTTCTTCTGCTAAGTATCACGAAGTCTCCTCTTCCATTTCCTGAGTATCATGAGGCCCCTCTTCCCTGGCTGAACACAGGTCCTTCACTTTGTGAAGAGGGCACTTGTGTAAAAGAAGGCCTGCAGTTTCATTGTGTCAAGGAATTGGGCTGTGATTGCCCAGCTACTGGCTGGTGAGTCCTCTTCTCCTTTCCGGCAGCACATATAAAGGACAAAATGTAGGGTGCCTGGGTGGCTCAGTCGGTTAAGCATCTGCCTTCGGCTCAGGTCATGATCCCAGGGTCCTGGGATCGAGCCCCGCATCGGGCTCCCTGCTCCCCGGGAAGCCTGCTTCTCCCTCTCCCTCTGCCTGTGTTCCCTCTCTCTCTCTCTGTGTCTCTCTCTGTCAAATAAATAAATAAAATCTTAATAAATAAATAAATGACAAAATCTTACTTAAATTTTGAGTCTGTAGTCGGTAATTTGGCCTGGGTGCCAGGGTCTGGAGCAGTAAGGCTCTGGGGAGACAGGCTAGGCATGTGTATGTAGTAGGACTTCTTTCTGCCGTATTTTCTGCATCCTTCCCCTTCCTTCCTCTCTGCAGCTGAGCTGGGTCCCGGAATTGTTTCAATTCAGACTTTGTTGTTTCAGAAGGGGTTATAAACTGCACCTAAACGCTGGTCTAACCAGCCTCCGTTTTTGCTCCTTTTCTTATAGATTTCAAATTGGGTGTATTGTTTTTTGTCTTGAGGCAATTTGACTTTTTTTTTAAAGTTATTTATTTATTTATTTATTCATGAGAGAGACAGAGAGAGAGAGAGAGGCAGAGGCAGAGGGAGAAGCAGGCTCCCCACGGAGCAGGGAGCCCGATGCGGGACTCGATCCCAGGACCGTGGGATCATGACCCGAGCCGAAGGCAGATGCTTAACCGGTTATCTGAGCCACCCAGGCACTCTTGACTTTTTTTTTTTAAAGATTTTATCATTTGACAGAGAGAGACACAGCGAGAGAGGGACCACAAGCAGGGGGAGTGGGAGAGGGAGAAGCAGGCTTCCCGCGGAGCAGGGAGCCCGATGTGGGGCTCGATCCCAGGACCCCAGGATCATGACCCAAGCCAAAGGCAGACGCTTAACGACTGAGCCACCCAGGCGCCCCGAGGCAATTTGACTTTCTATGGGTCCTTCTCAGTCCAAAGGCCAGGAAGGGAGCCACACTCCTGCTCAGTTCAAGTTAAACATTGTGGTCCTTGGTCAATCAATTTTGTTTAAAAATGGAACCGGTATGCCAGCTTGGAATTACAGTTTCTCCTTGATAGTTCTTGAAATCAAGATGTCATGCTTTTGATCTAAGGGAAAAATTGGAAATATCTCTTCTGACTAGCTGGGGTCCTGGTATTTGTGGGAGGATAAGGCTCAAAAAGAGTGGGGGGAAAACGTCCTTAATTGCCTCCACAGATACTCAGGAGAAGTCACTGGGGAAATCAATCTCCAGATGAATCTCAGCATCTCCTCAATTTGCTTCTAGAGCTGACACCGTCCTTGTATTAGATGACCACCAGCCTCCAGATTTCTCTCCTCTGGGGACACCGAGCATTCACAGTCTGACCTTACCAGGCTTTAATCTCCCATCGCCCCCTCCCCATCTCTACTGAGACAGTTCATCCCAATCCTAGCTGCCTGTTCTCCTAAATGATCTTTCCCATCTGGTCAAGCTAACTTGCTCTTCCGGGCTCAGCTTCAGCTCCATCTCTGTGAAGAGGAAGAATTAATTTAACAGGCAGATGTCTATACAGAAAGCCAGGCACTGTGCAGAACTTGAGGGATTCAGAATGCACCATGCCTAAAGGACAGCGCCTGACCTCGGGGAGCTCACATTCCAGTAGGAGAGCTTGATGTTAACGAGAGCACAGTGTGGCAAGTACAACAGTGGGATTGGGTGTAAGCTCCAGATGAGGCTCAGAAGTTGTGTGTGTAGGATCCGAGATGACAGCTCAGACAAGATCTGAGGCTGAGAAGGGGCCTCCTCTTCCGTGAGCCTGGCCAATCCATGGACAGTCACCTTCAGTGCCCCCACAGTTGGCACACCTGTCTCCAGGTGAACCAAGATGCAGACCTTGCCCTCATGTTCCCCAGGGCCTGAGCACAGGGCCTGATGCCTAATATGGGCTCCAAGAAATGAACAGAGTAAATGAATCCTAGAGACAGGTTTTTCTCTCTCTAAACGCTTTATTCAGAGTTTCCCTGAACTAGTGAGGAGGATAAATTCCTGCCTAAAGCTTCAGGAGGCGTTTCCAAATCAGCGGAGTACCCCCCACTCCCTGTCTTTTGCCCCTTTGCTCCCTGGTTGCCCAGTGTCCCCTGCTGCCTCCAAACGCGACCCACCAAGGCCTTCTTTTCAGAGAGCTCCAGGCTCCAAAACCTTTCCCTGAGAAACTACTCTTACTGATTAAACCATGGTATACAATGGAATACTATGCAGCTGTGGGAATGGCTGGGGGGCTCCTAGCATATGCCTTTTTTTAAAGATTTTATTTATTTAATTTATTTATGAGAGAGAGAAAGAAAGAAAGCGGTGTGGGGGAGGGAAGAGCAGAGGGAGAGGGACAAGCAGACTCAGTGCTGAGCTTGGAGCCTGAGGCATGGCTCGATCCCACAACTCCGAGGCCGTGACCCGAGCCGAAACCAAGAGTGGGACGCCCGACTGACTGGGCCTCCCAGGCGCCACTGTATGCCTTTGATTTTATTTATTTTTTTTAAGATTTTTTTTTAAATTTATTTATTTGAGACAGAGAGAATGAGAGAGAGAGAGCACATGAGAGGGGGGAGGGTCAGAGGGAGAAGCAGACTCTCTGCCGAGCAGGGAGCCCGACGCGGGCCTCGATCCCGGGACTCCAGGATCATGACCTGAGCCGAAGGCAGTCGCTTAACCGACTGAGCCACCCAGGCGCCCCCCTGTATGCCTTTTAATGTTAGGGTTGATTTTGGAACCATGTGAATGTTCACCTATGGAAAAAGGAAGAAGAAAGCCTAAACCTCACACCGAAGATGGTGAAAATTCACCTGTGTGTGAATGACTGATAGGTGATTGAATATTTGAGTTTCAACAAATTATTTGTTGAATGGATGCGTAAATATTTCCCCATAGCATCTTTGGATCTCCACTGTAGTCCTTTG